TTTTATAGATTTTATCAAGTATAAATATTGTATTTTATTTTAATTAGATTTGTTATGAAAATTAATGAAATTTAACTTATATTCTAAAAACATAGATTAAAAAATCTCTTTAAAAAATTTATATTTCTTATTATTAATATCAAAACTTGTGTAAAACAAATTATTAGTTTTTGATACCGTGAACATGCTAAGCAGAATTGCTAATTTGACATGCATTTTCTAAGTTTTTAGGTTATTTTCCGCAAAAAAATTTATAGATCAAAGTAATAATAGCTCAATTGTTAATGGACTTAATAATTTAACCATGTTTTTGTGTCGTTTATTTCTTTGTTATTCATGTGGACTTTTTTTTTTTTCTAATATTTGTTGGGCCATTTGGGCTTTAAACCCACTGATTTTGGACCAGTCCATGTTTCCGTTTACCAAAAAAGAGGGAGGGAAAATCAGATTGAAATCTCTAGAATAGAAACATCATCGTGGGTTTTGCTAGGGTTTTAGAAAAGACGACCTCATTTCCGGCGATTTCTTCTTCCTATTATCACTCATGAACAATTTTCTGGTAATTTTCATTTGATTTTATGTCCCTTAATCCTTATTCCATCTATAAATATTTTGAGTATATTTCGCAATGTTAGAATTGCAGCAAACTATAGATTCTAATCAATTGGATGAAGGTTATATAATATAAAAATGAAAAATGTATATTAGTAGTACTAATAAAAATTTATGTAAAAAAAATTTTAAAACTATATTATTTTAATAAATATCAATTAAGAAAAAATAAAATTTTAAATAATTTATTCTACAGTTAAGATTTCAATTCCCAAAACAGGGTTTGAAACCCTTGGTAATTTTGTTTTTTGAAGTGTTAATGTTGAAAATCCTCCAGGTTCCAACCCCTGGAGGCAGATTCTAACCCTTGAAGGCAAGTTCCAACCCCTTGTACTAGAACATTAATTTACTTACTATATTTGGAGTATATGCATTCCAAAAAGGAGCTCCAACGGTAAAAACATTGATTTGGCACTCTCAAGCTATAAGAACCAGATCTAGAAGAGTGGAGAAAAAAGAAGAACAGAACCTTCAAGTTGAAAAACCAAGAGTGTTTAAGTTTCTATCTTATACTTTGAGAATTTTCTTACTTTTCTGGTTCTCTTTCATTGTAACAAGTGAGAGGGGGATTGGGGAAACCTTGTTAGATGTAAGAATCCATCCTTGAGGTATAGGACTGGCTGAGAGATTTGTAACAAGGGATTTAAATAGTTGATAACACCAGCAAATTATTGTAATTGGTTTCACTAGCACCCGTTAAAGCTAGTGTTAGTGGATTAAATCTTAAGCGTAAGAAACTCAAGGATTGGATGTAGGCACCAAAGAGGGTGACAAACGAGGATAAATCGAAACATTTAATATTTGTTACCGTACTCTTTTAATTTTTGCAATTTAGTTTACAATAACTTATTGATTGCTTGTGTTTGATCATTGCTTTATTCAAAAATTGCATAAAGTTTTTCGAAACCGAATTCACCCCCCTCTTAGGTTGCCATCTGGGCCAACAAATTCCATGCTTTTACAACTTTTCTTCAAATAAGTTGGAAGGAGGAAGAAA